CTATATTATCCGCATTTTACAACAATTTCGCAACGAAACTTTGGAATATTACTAATTTTGTGATGCTCTTTCAAGCTGTGATGAAATTTTTGTCTAGATCAAAATTTTAGTTATAAGGGGAAAAGGTCCATCCCTATTTAGGATATAAGGCCCATTTCCACGGACAGAAAATTTTCCGAAAATATCATTGTTAAAAGTTTTCAATTTTTTTCCGACGGAAAATTTGTGCTGGCCAATCACATTTTACAAAATTTTCATTCTGCGGAAAATTTTCCGGAGTGGAAATGGGACATTAATCAGACACTAAGACGCCACATATTACTGCATGGCTGGGCCATCCTTCGTCGTCTCACAATCATTTGTCTCTTTAGGTGATGCAGCAATACCAATGCTCTTTTGAGTTCAACGACAAATTCTTACAAACTCTGTTTGAGAATGCGTACAGTTCAAAATACGGTAAGGTGTTTAAATATCGTAAGAAACGCAACCTGGACTAACTTTATTTTATATGCTGGATAGCTCTATCAGTTCTGAACTGTTCTGGTTCTCCCTAGAGGTCCAGTAAGGATTATCTCTTGTTGATCCAGTGTTACTACAGGAGGAAACCTAAACTAAACTAATTTTATTTTATATGTTGGATAGCTGTATCAGTTCTAAACTGTTCTCCCTAGAGATCCAGTAAGGTTCATCTCGTATTCATCCAGTGTTACTACAGGCAGAAACCTAAACTAAGACTAACTTTATTTTATATGCTGGATAGCTCTATCAGTTCTGAACTGTTCTGGTTCTCCCTAGAGGTCCAGTAAGGATTATCTCTTGTTGATCCAGTGTTACTACAGGAGGAAACCTAAACTAAACTAATTTTATTTTATATGTTGGATAGCTGTATCAGTTCTAAACTGTTCTCCCTAGAGATCCAGTAAGGTTCATCTCGTATTGATCCAGTGTTACTACAGGAGGAAACCTAAACTAAACTAATTTTATTTATGCTAGATACTGTATCTCTATCAGTTCTAAACTGTTGTGTACTGACTATGTACATTATACAGCATACTTTGCCATCTATAAAGTATTTTCTATCCAACACAGGTACTTTTCTTGGTAATTGCGAATATGATAGAGAGAAACATGGCGTTCGTAAAAAGACAGTTAGTTTATGGTGAGGCCTTTATATATTTTTACAATCTAATACACAAGAAGGAGGAGAGGAGGGGACTCATTTGATAGACAGACTCGTCTGAGGGGTGCACCCCTTTCTGGACCACAATACAAATAGCAAATTAACGTTGGCCCAGGATTTTTACCAAGTTTGTTTGTGTGTTAAAATATATTAAAGAAGCAGTCCCTGCCTCTCCCAAAACACTTTCTAAATTTCTAGCTATTGTTCTTCGCGCATGTTTCCGTAACAAGCCTTTTAGTGGGGGCGGGGGGGGGGGTATGCAAATCATCTTTACTTGCCGCTGAAAGCTGTTGTGAAGGACGCAGCTCAACCTGGTCGAGTCGAAGGCTTTCTAAGGGCGTCTCTGGCACCGCCTTATGATTCATGTCTGATCGCGGAGCACACCTGCGGTGGAAGGGTCAGTTAGGGGGCTAATCCCAACCCACCCTGTCAACATTCCCTGTGGGTTTTCACGTGAATCTCTTGGGTCCACAACGGGAATCGAACCCACGATCTCAGTGGTGAAAGGCAGTTGCTCTCATAATTTGTCATTCTGTTTAGGAATTGGCTGAATGATCCTGATATATTGAAACCGATGTTGAATCCAGTTTATGCTCTGAACACATCTGTACTCAGACCTTCGTCCGCTTCGCAAACATTGGTACGTGAATGAAGTTACTATGTCAAATGACCGTACCAGATCAAATGACAGTACCAGATCAAATGACAGTACCAGATCAAATGGCAATACCAGGTCAAATGACAATACCAGATCAAATGACAGTACCAGATCAAATGGCAATACCAGGTCAAATGACAATACCAGATCAAATGACAATACCGATCTAAATGACAGTACCAGATCAAATGACAGTACCAGATCAAATGACAGTACCAGATCAAATGACAATACCAGGTCAAATGACAATACCAGATCAAATGACGGGTTAGGTTAAAACGCGGAAGCGGATGCGGAACGGAACGGATATGCGGAACGGAACGGAACGGATATGGGGTTAAAATGCGGAACGGAACGGATATGCGGAACGAAACGGAACGGATATGGGGTTAAAATGCGGAACGGAACGGATATGCGGAACGGAACGGAACGGATATGGGGTTAAAATGCGGAACGGAACGGATATGGG